ACATCTTCTCTGTTCTGATCCATTTGGTAGTTATGTGTTACAGAATTTACTGTTGAATGCCTCAGAAAGACGACTGGTAAGCGTGTACTAATAAAATGTTTAAGTTATCAAAACTGCTTTTGTGGCCAGTGTAGTTAATAATGTATGTGAATGTTAGATTTCAGGTGCGCAGTCAAAGGAACCGGAGTTCACAGATTGGGTTTTAAAAGTTAGTAAGTTTGTACTAAACAATTTGGAGGACTTTGTTTGGAATAAATATGCCAATCATGTAATTCGAACAGTTACTGAGTGTCTTGGAGGAATTTCTTGTCGAACAATGGCTGAAACCGACAAAAGACATGCACAACCCAAAATGATTACCAAACCATCAGTACAATTAAGTAAAATTCCTCCTGAATATTCTGAACTTCTAAAAGAGTTTGTACATCGTTTGTCTGCTTGGCCGCAGTTTCAAGGTTGATACCTCATAAAACATTCATTTTATTATACACCTTTAAAGTGCCACAGCACTGATGTACCATAAATATTTCAGTAGGTATCCAGAGGATTTGACCCCAGACATTATTTGGACATTTGTGACACTGTAATAAGTATTTCAGTTTGGAATACTTTCCTAATTTACAGAAAAATATTTTCTTGAACACATTCTTGACTGACCTCCTGTGACCCCTTCACCAGGTTGCAGGACTACCAAAAACTTACTTGTTTGCTGAAAGTTTGCAGTTAATTTGTCAGACACAAAAATTACTTGACATTTCTAACCGTTATACGGATAGAAGGGTAGGTTTCTGATCATTAAAGAGAGTTGTTCCAAAAAATGACACCATTTCAATACAAGCATTGAAACTTTAAAATAAATTCTGTAATATAGATTGCATTCATTAAAGCAAGAAGTTCTGGGAACGGCTCATTGCCTACTTTCCTTTGATATGACACTGACCACATAGAATATGATGCATGCAATAATTCTTTTATTGTTGCATGTGTACTCATGGCCATGGAAGTGTGTTCACAGAGATGTTGTGTAGCAGTGATAGGGAGATACGCATAAAGCCAAACAGGGAAAGTAGTCTAAAAGAGGAACTCTTGGAGGTGGTGATTTTTCTGTGGTTCACC